CAAGTCCCAGCTCTGAGTTTGGGTGCTACTCTGACCAATTTCTAGAGAAGCATTCCTGGATGAGGAGGAGTCTGGAACATTTCCAGCTCTGAAGTTGCCATGCACAGCAGAGGTGTGCAATAAAGCATTCTTCACTGTCCCCACTTTCCCCAAAAACTTGTAATAACCAAGGTGAGTGGATTTTTCCCGAGTAACAAAAGGTGCTTCTTGGGTACAGATTGAAGATTTCAGCTGCAAAGCATAGAGGTGATACAGCTAGTCATAGAAAAGGCTGAATGAATTGGTGGCTTTTGCTAGTCTGGTTCTCAGAAGCAGCCTAACCACTTTGACTAAATTTAGACTTAAGCTTAAACCAAGGTAAGCGTGTGGCCTTGAAAGCTTCAGCCCAAGTAGCTGAAGCTGGCAAAGTTACAAGCAGGTGAACAGCCAGGCCCCGCAACAGGAAGTGTTCAAACCCAGAGCTCTGCAGGCATAGGCTCTCACAGGCCTTGTTTTTTCTAGGAGGTTTACAACGTATCTTTAGAGTTTGCTTGCTGTGTTTTTAGGCATTTGAGAGCACCCTGAAGTCCTGGGAGGACAAACAGAAGTGTGAGTTGTCCCGACCCTCCTCTTTCTCTCTGCAACCAGAGATCATGTCTGAAGAAGAGTCCACCCAGATCAACCGCTTTGGCCAGGCCGCAGGTGCTCTGATCCACAGGTGGGACTCAATTTCCTTTTTGTGGACAGAGCCCTCCTGGGTGCCTCAAGTCCTTTTCTTTCTCCCTGTTCCTAGCTGCAGTGCTGGCCCGTGTCATTCTTTTGCTGTGCCCTGCCCCAGCCGCATGAAGACTGAAGTCACACAAACTTTTGTGGGTCATCCTGAACTAAAAGTAATACTTCCATGGGCACATGAGGATCCTTTAATCTCTAAAGATTAATAGCTTTGAATATCAGTGATTCTTATCAGGAATGAAACACAGTCACTGGGAACTGGAAGCTCAGATGACAAGTTAGGGACTTTTAACCCTGATGCCCAGCAGAGATTTGTGAAATAAACCACTGTATGCTCGTCTGTCCTCCTTCATTTGGGCATCTTGTTTCATGCTCTGGGCCTTTAAGAGGACATGCCCAGATTCACATCCAGAAAGTGTTCGCTGTGTCTGCAGCTGCCTTACAGATCGCCATGGTCATACCAAAGCTTCGGGGTCATATTTTAAACTGACCCCAAATCATGTGCAGCCCTGAACGTGCACCTGGAGTTGTCCGTGTGAGGTGTGCCCTGCTTTGCCTGCGCGTGCTCACCAGCAGGCAGAACTGCCCTGCTTTGCTGAAGGCTGTGCTCCTCCCATGCCCTGTCCCTGCTCTCGTCACTCACATGGGTATGAAAAGGAGATATTCAGTTCAAAAAGATCTCTTATCTTGAGCATATGCTGATGTAATCTGTAATTCTCCCTTTAGCATTCGGGAAATAGCACAATCCTACCAGGACATGGAACAGGAGCTTGCCCATGCTGTCAATGCCAGCTCCAAGTCTATGGACAAAGTCTACGCTAAATCCAAGTCTACAGAGGTATTTCACTCGCTTGGCATCTCCCATTTTCTTTTTGTGCCATAGCTCTTGGTTCTCCTTTCTGATTGAGCAGAATAAGCCTTGCTTCTCTAAGACATTTTCCTTTTTACCACTCAGACTTCTGCATTCTTGGGCTTTATTTATGCACGTGTTGCTTCCCAACAGGGTCTGAACTGCAGCCTCGTTGTAGAGATGGTGAATAATGTGAAAGCCCTGCATAATGAGACAGAGCTGCTGCTGGCAGGCAAGATGGCTCTGGTAAGAAGCACGAAGGAGTGAAGCAGCCTCTTGCTTCCTCTCTTCTGCTGTGACCTTGGCAAGCAACGTCTTGCTGGTCTTGGTCCTCTTTGTCTTCACAACAAGTCAGTTAAAATGTTCCTGTCTGGGGAATTAGGATGGGTTGGCTGGTGTTGCTACATGAGTATGATGGGCCGTCAAGCTCATTTACTCAGAGCTGGGGATCAGAAAAGATGGGTTTAACACGGTAATGTCTGGGCAGAGGGCCTGTTGTGCACTTCCTTTTTAAAAGGAGGAGCTGCTTTGTTAGCCGGGAAGTTCCAAGTGGGGCCTCACTGTGTGTTCCACCATGTGTTTTTTAACTCTGCTTTGTTTCCGTTTCTGCAATTTCAGCAATTGGATCCTCCACAGAAAGAGCAGCTCCAAACTGCCCTGGCAGACATGGACCTCCAGCTAAGGAAGCTGGCAGACATCCCTTGGCTGTGGCAGCTCATGGAGCCCTGTGATGAGGAGGTGAGGAAGGCCAGAGCGGTATTTCCCCAGCTCTTCTCTTTTTCACTAGTTGGCTGTGAGTGTTTCACTTCCTGTGAGTATGCAGCAGATGTTAGAAAAATTCATTAAGAAGGAAACTCAACTCCCTGGGGCTAAAGAAAGTAATTTCCTGCTAAGGTCCCTTGACTGACATGGGATCAACTTTCTCTCCCTGTTTCCTTCCCCATCTTGATCAGAAAGAGTTCAGAATATTTTTCCTTTCTTACAAGGTCATGGAGCTGTTTTAGAGGGTACTTGCTGCTCTTGGACTGTTGCAGTGAGTTGGCGTTTGGTGGCATGACTTTCCCCTTGTGTTCCTACAGAACCAGATGTTGGATTATTCTAAACGCAGCCGCAGCGGCAAATTTCGGCTGGTGACCAAGTTTAAAAAGGAGAAGAACAACAAAAATAAGGAGGCCCATAGTAGCATGGGATTGCCGGGTACCAAGTCTGCTCATTGCTGGTGTCTCTGTTCATCACCCCAGTGTGGTCACACCACCACCCGTTCTCTTTCTGTCTGTCTGTTCCCTCCGATGTTCTGTCCCTCTTCTGTGTCCCTTGCATTTGCCTTTTCTCAGAGGTCTAGTCTGTCTTTTTCACATGGCAAAGTAGCTTATTGCTCTGTTTTGTCTGAGTCAAGATCCCCAGTACTAAGTAGATATTCCTGAGCAGAAACAGGAGGCACCCTCTGAATAATCCCACTTATATCTGGCCATTTGCTGGGATGTCTTAGGGGGTGCTTAGTGAAGTGAATTTGAGGACTTTGATGTTTCAGGTATCCATATGACTGTGGGGCCCAAGTCCGCATAACTCCAATCTTTTCACTGCTCATTCTCTGTGATATGGTTAATGGTATTTTTCTCATTGATTCACCTTCAGGCTTTAATCAAGTTTCATGTCTAATTGGCTGGGGATCAGCATCATCACAGGTGCACCCTGACCTTTAATCCTACCGGTCAGTAAATAAAAACTGGCCATGAATCAACAAATTGCCAGTGATATCAAGACACTTTCTCTCCAACTGGGTTAGTTGATTTTTGGTTTATATTCTATTTATGAAGCCTTTCTACTTCTAAAATTCAGAAGTACTGGCTGTTCTGTGGGCTCCTGGGTCCTGTCCTCTGCCATAGAGCTGTGGGTCTCCTCCTGTCTCACTCATTGATGCTCACTTATTGCCTCGCAAAACTTGGGACCTTTTTTTTCTCTTATTTAGAGGCTGTGCGAGAAGCTGGGGCTCTTCCTCTCTCCCTTGGACTTCAGAGGAGAGGCTGCCATTTTGCCTGCTGAGCACAAGTTTTTGCATATAAGGACAAACTAACACGTGCTTGGTTCCTAGTGCTGTATTCTATGACTCTGTGGTTTTGTAAGCAGAGAAATACCAGCAAATTTACTCTTAGTCATGGGGGTAAGCTTTACAAAGTATATCCAAGCCTGTCAAAACAAGCATATTACCCCCAGAATCACTGCAGCTAGCCTCTGTTTAAGAGAAAAACTCTAATCTCAATCTGCCCTTCCACCTTTGTTTGAGATTGTAGGCCGTGTCACCGGTCCTTGCCCTCCCCTTGATTTGAGGTTGTGGTGCTGCTTGCCCTCCCTCTCTGGCACCGAGTGCTGCTGCTGTCCTCGTCTCTCGCTCGCTGTCCTCTGGGGTTCTGGGTACTCAATGCACTCCTGCTTTTCCATCTCTAACAGTTCACCTATGGGGAACGGAGGAGGTTGCGGCCTGGCTTGAGCATCTCAGTCTTTGTGAGTATAAGGATATCTTCATCCGACATGACGTCCGGGGCTCTGAGCTCCTGCACCTCGAACGGAGGGACCTCAAGGTACTTTCATGATCAGCTCATCAGAAATAGCCAGCTGCATCTGCATGACCTTCTGTGCTGAATGTGCTTGGAAGTGGCCTGCCACTGTTCATTCCCCGTGCCTTGGCGAGATGAATGGGTTCATTGGCACCTCATTTTATTTAATGACCATCTCATATCACCTGATGTTTAAGCAAGGTAGAACAGCTTGTTTCAGAGACTGCCTGTGAGCTCAGCCACAGGTTCTCAGAGTTGCAAAACAGTCCAGCGCTTGAGAGGCTTCAACTTGAATGCTGGAATGGAAGTTTTCAACTTCACAGCTCCCATACCATCTTTGCAAAGCCTGCTTGGTCATGTGTTATAGTCACTGGACAAAAAGGTCATTGCACTTCTTTGTTACAAGCAAAAATGATCGTGGTCTTAGATGAGGCTGTTAGATGGAGAGAATCTTTTGAAGTAATAACAATATTGCTCAGCTCTTCATCTCTCCATCGAGAGATACTCTGCAGAGGAAAATTAAAAATGCTGTTTCTTTGCATGCACAAGAACTTGTGATCATTCTGGTGACTTGCACATAGCAAAAAAGAATTGTTTTGTCTTAGTGTGTAGCGTTCATTGAATGCTCCTTGGACCTTCATTTGTGACTTGGACCAGCTTCCTGTTCTGCATTTTGCTGTTGTCTGTGCAGCGATTCCTCTGCGTGCCATCCAGCCACAGTGTGCGTTTTGTTGCATGGTGCCCGAGTGTTCACACGTGCACTGATGTGACCCGTTGTGTTCTGCATGTATTTGGCTACCAGCTTAGGTCCTTGTGATCTTTCTTCCTTCTGTTCTTGTGCTTTGGCCCTTAACAGTCAAGGCAGTTTGCATTTCTGGCTGGTGGTCTGCAGTTGCTTCTTGCCATTGCTTTGTACCTGCTCCTCATGTGCCTGTTCATTACTCTGTCATGCTCTGATAGATTTTCGACACATGGTTTGAGGTTCCATATATAACTATCAGATCTGTTATCTTTCTGGTTGGTTCCTCCTCTCATTATAACTAGCTGAGTAGTTTGAAACTACTGCTTGGTGACCTGGAAATTATTTTTCCCCCTTTCTCCTAAGGTAGAATTTTCTCTTTTCTTGCAGGACCTGGGTGTGACCAAAGTGGGTCACATGAAGAGAATCCTGCACGGGATCAAGGAGCTGAGCCGGAATACTCCTGCCAGCGAGGTTTAGCCTCTGTGTTCACAGCCTGTGTCTACCATTCCCCCTAACCGCACAGCAGTCACCTCACAGAGCAGACGTGCTCACAACTGTGTCTACTGAGCAGCCAGAGCAGCTGGTCAGAGCTCATATCAGCCAAGCGTGGTGCTACCTTTATTACCTGTGGGGTACAGCCGCATCCATCGAGAGGCACCTGCCCTGCGTACCCCGGAGCCTCCCCAAGGAGAACTCGCTCTGAAGAACCGTGTCCTTACGTGTGGGAAATGCTGGTTCCAGTGACAGTGTAGGACTCCTGAGAATTGCAACACAGCTACCTTTGCTGGATAATTTTGTCACAGTAGAATTATTCAGTGCAAAAGATATATTGGCCAGTCTTAGTTCAGGAGTATCTGGCAGTCTTTTTAGACCCAAAGCTTTCCCACTCGGTTGTAGGTCACGCCTGTATCTTAGAGCATTGAAGTGGGACAAAGCATGTCCTTGTGTCTTACCTAATCCCCTCCTTCACACACCTGTAATTGCAGGTGGTTTGCATCAGAAATTCAAAGCCAGTGCAGACCTCCTCTTGCAAGTGAGGACCCAGTGATTCTCACTCACTCCTGCCCTGCAACAAACAATGCACATGGTTAAAACAGTCTTTTGCACCAGCCTTGCCGTTTTCTGCTGGGCCTAGCTCTCCTCTCTTTTGGCCACTGGTAATGGTACAATCTCTAGATTTTCAGGCATTACAAACTATTGTTGAGAAATGATAAGAAAACCCAGAATTCTTGAAAGGCAGAAGATTACAGAAAATGAGCTCTGACCTTCCCCCTTCTGAATTCATCTTCAGGAGACCACATGCAGAGAGAGGAACACTTAACCAGCTATTTGGGCCGTACAGGAAGTGTAAAGTAATAAAGTGAGTTATGGAACACCTCTCTGTGCCTGGATGGAGGGAAGCAGCATGACTGGCAACAGCCAGGACTGCCTTGCTGTCCCTTTTATGCCATCATCGTGGCCCCAGACAGCAGAGCTGTTTCTGTGCTTCAACTCGTGCAGAAAATTACTTTGGTCACAAATGATAAAATCTAACTGTATTATGGCATCTTTTCCCCTGTCTTGGTTCTTGCAGCTTTCCCTCTTGCTTCTATCTCTCTTGCTGCCTTCGCTCCAAGGCAGATACCAAAAAATCTGGGTGGCTCAGTCCTCTCCCCAGGAGAGAAATCAAGCTGTGGGGAATGTCAGGGTTCCTGCAAGAGCTCAGAGGAAAGGAGGATTGTTAGAGCAGATGAGTATCCTCATGAAAACTGGTGTATGTTGGTTAATGGCCTTTGGTGCCACCAGCAGCGGAGTGTAGAAAAATCAGTGCCTCTGAATCACAGTTCCTACATGGCCTTCAAACTTCCACTGTATTGCCTGCCCAAGGTGTATTTATCATTCATTAGAGAGGGAGCTCAGGAGCTTTCAGTGCTGTAAAGCTTGGAGACGCAGCAGGAGTGTTTAATTACTTTGTAATTTTGTATGTATTTATTTTTATGACTATTACACAGTGGCACTTGTCTGGCTGTGCATGCAGGCAAAGAACTGGCTGTGTACACAGTGGCAGAAAACTTAGGTTCCTGAGGATATCTTTTTTTCTCCGTTATTTGTAAGGATTTTGCCAAGTTGACAGCAGCTCTTGTAGTCTAACAACAGTCAAGATATTTTGTGTATAGACTCATCCCTAAAGATTTTGGGGATTGGTTTGATCCTCAGCAAACTCCATTGCAGTCTTGAAGACTTCTCCAAGGCTTGTTCTGATTCTCCCTCTCAGTTCACCTCTGTGTCTCTTCGTAGCCAGGCAGCTCACCGGGTTTGCTCATGAGAAGCGAACAGCAGACAGATGTGTTTGATTCGTCTAGCAAATACTCTGGTATAAATACTGTGGGGAGTGCACAAGAAAAATGTTTAGCTTTGCCCTGAGTTTGTTCCTTCTTATCTCTACCTAGCAATTGCTTCTGTGGCTGTATTTGTTTCTCTTTTGACCCCCTTTTGGTATTGAATTCCTGGGGTATTAAGCAGGATTTTCCCGTGTGTTTGTTGAGGCACTGATCCAGCGTCTGCATGTGGATGAGGAGAAACGTCCACTATAAGGAGAACTCCAGGCCATTGCCAGCCTCGCTGGGGACCAGGGGCTGCCCCATAACCCAGGATCACATGTGGGTAGGATTCGTGCACGTGCCCAACGGTGCATGATGCAGGGGACAGCTCTGGAGAAGGGGTGAGATCCTTTACTGAGAAGGAAACACCATTCTTGCTGCAAAACTTCTCAAGGGAACCTCATGATTAACTGTGCGTAACCACTATGCACTTGCCTTGCTTATTCCTGGGGAATTTAATTCTTGCCTCAGTAGAAGCAGCTCTTCTCTGTTCTTCCTGCTGCGAATGGCAGGGAAGCCAAAGAGCCCTTACAGTCAGATGTTCCTTAATCCAAGCCATATCCGAAGAGGACTGAAGGTCATTAGCCATCTGCTAGAGGGGATGATCTCTGCACAGACCAATCTTCATTTCTTTTACGACTTGCCTTGTTGGTATGTTCAGATCCTTTTTCGTGTGTGTGCACATTTTATGAAAACATTTGTAGCCAGTATATTTCTATCTGTCGCGTACCGAAGGAGGGAGGGAAGTTCTACCTTCTTTTAAGAGCTAGAAAATGGGATCCACATTTAACCTGAGTGCCTTTGAATCTGTGTTAAGGTTTCTATCCAGCAAAAGGGTCATAGCTCCCTGTGTCTCCCTGGGAAGAATGCAGATATCTGCTGCCCAGATTTTATTTCTGGCAAACGTCAGCAAGAGCCATCAGCAAAGTAGGGAGCCAGGTTCAACTTCTGGCTCTGTTCTCCAGCGTTGCTCTTCTGGCACCTGAGAGCTCTTGGCGAGAGAGAAACTCGAGATAACTGGAGAGTAAAATGGAAGAGATTTTACTGCTGCTTTGCCCCGAATCGGAGACTCTCCTGCAGTCTCAGGTAAAACGCTAGCTCAAGAGAAGCTAGAACTGCACCTGCATTTCAGCTCCTCCTGCTCCTTCTGGGGAAGCCTCCGGCCACCTCCTGCTTCCTCAGCCTTGGCAGCAGCTGCTAGGGACCGGGACAGTTTCTGCAGGGAGCCGACCATGCAGTTCCCTGCTAGGGCTAGTTTTTTCCATACATTATTCCCCACTCTGGCCCTGGAAATTGGCCTTTAGTGGCACCTTGTGTGGACCAGCTCCCCGGGGCTGGGCTCGCCGGGGAGGCAAGCGGGAGGCTTGGCCACGGCAGCCCTATGCAGAGGAGCCTCCGCCTGCGCCGGCCTCGAGCACCCCGCTCCCGCACCCGAGTCGTCCGGAAAGCTCTGATCCTTCTTTTAGTGTTATTTAAAGATGCATACTATCTATGTGATTAAAAACAAAAGGACTGTTTACACTAAGTATTTTGTATCTTAAGATGTGTGTACTGTAAAAAGAAAAAAAGGAAGAAAGGATGAAAAATGATGTTTTTCTACAGCTGTCGGCAGCGACTGCATGTCTGTATCATCGTCCACCAACGGTTGTTCCTCAGGGGTGTCCCCGCCATTCCTGTGATCCCGTCAAAAGCATAGGGAAGCATCCGAATCCCTGTACAGTCTTGGGAAGAAGGTTTTGTGCCTTAAAAATGGGACCTGCTTCCCTCCTATTTATTGTGTTAATTTATACCATGATTACCATGGAAATGTCTCTTATATGTTTTTGTACATATTTTTCCCATCGGTTGTTGTAAATACAGTTTTCTTGTATATAAAGTCACGGTGTTCCTGAGCTTCCAGTCAAGCTTCCCTGTTCCGGGTGTGCTTGTGCGGCAGGCGGCCGCGCCCGGCTGCTGGGAGGCAGCCAATAAAGTCTGTGCTGTGACGAGCGCCTCGGTGTCACTTGCTTCAGAGCTTGAGAGGTCTGCAAAGGCCTTTGTGGAGGAAGTGAAATGATGCAGGGGACTCGGTTAAGCCTATGCTGCTTCGCATCGGTTTAATTAGCGTGGGGCACAGTTAATTTTTTATTAGCCCTATCTCTGCAGGGAGCAAGTGTGTTACTTGCTGGGAGAAGTGATTTGTCCCATGAGATAGAAATAAGCTGCTGTAAAATGACACGTGCACCCTTGAACCTGCAAGGTTTGGAGGTGCTGGGCTGTGCAGGCTGGGGAGCAGCAGCTTGCCATCAGCTTTACCTCCCACCACTGCGTATCAATGGGCTCCTAAGCGGGTAGCAAGAACCTGTCAGATGACTGCTTTTAAACCTAGAGCAAGGAAAGAAACGGCAAAAAGAAGATGCTGTTCCTCCTTTGAGGCAGGTAATTGTTTTAATTTTGGTCTTTATTCATTTAAGCGCCACAAGCAAGAAGCTCTCTGGGCCACTTGGTGTCACTTTGCGGGGGTGTCACTGCTGCTGCTTAGGGCACCGTCCTCTTGCCCTGACTGCTGCAGTGGGTCTTGCAGGGTGGAGAGCTTGGAAAGGAGTTTTGCAGCTAGGACCTTCCAGGAGCAATGAGGGGGCTTTTTTGTCTTGCTTTTTACTGTATCTTGGTTGGTTTGTTTTTAATATAGCATAAAACCTCAGGAGAGTCAAGCAACAGGGAGAGATGCTGCGGTGGAATGGAAGCAGACAGGTCAAGGAGGAGCCTTGTCATCCCGGCTGGAAAAGCAGCATCGGAACGAGAAGATAAGTTCTTGTCTGCTGGTGCTGTGTGCTCGTCTGGGATGCCCCAGGGGCAGAACAAGGAGCTTCTGAGGCTGCAAAAAGTGCTCAAAAATACATTGCAGTTCTCCAGAAACGTCTGTCTGAAGAGCTGAAGCATTTGGCTGACTCCTTGGGTGCCCTGTTATGTTGTACATCTTAACTGTCCTCCCAAGAAAAGAAATGGGTGAATTTACACCTGACCTGAAAGCTCTGTTACAAAGAAGAGGCCAATGCTGCCTGGTGAAAGGAGTTGAAGTTTTAAATTTGTTTTCAGAAAAATTACATTTTAAGTTGCAGTTTAAATGTGGAAAAGGGGAACAACTGAGCGCTGCTGGCTAAGAAGTTGAAGGCTAGGAGCACTTTTGAGAGATGTTTCCAGAAGGCTTCCCGTAGGGGCAGGAAAAAGACCAAACTTTAAACTTTTTTTATAGACGGTTGAAGTGAGAAAAATAGACTATAGTCTGTTATGCTCCTTGCAGGTCACATTGTAAGGAGGGATGTCTTTAAGCTGTGAAATTTGAAAGCTTGATCCTTTTTTTACTTTTTGGAGATGTTCCCCTTTGATTACCAGTGTCTGTTCTTAATACTGTGTGAATCACGGCTTTCCACAGGGTTAATTAAAAGGATTTGGAGCCTCCTCTCTCACCAAGCTTATGAACTCGCTCAGTTTGTTTCTCTTTGATCGATTTTCTGAGGGTGAGAGAAGAAGGTATTCTTTTAATGAAAGTGAACTGAGAAAGTAGTGAGCCTACTGCCGTAATGATTCACATTCACACTGTTCCCTGGCATGCAAGATTTGATACAGATCTTTAAGTATCCTGGAATATCTTCTCTTGAATCCCTTGTGTCTGAAGTCGTGCACTTCTGTGAGAAGACAAACATTTGCCTTTAAAAGCATTATTTCCACTCTGTGGTAGCAAGAGAGAGCAGGACTTTAAAGACCCCCAAAATGCAAGGGCTGATGAAGAGCTTGGTCGGTTCTCCCTGAATTTTTCTATAGCTTTTCAGAAAAAGCCACGAGGTGCCATATTTCTTTAAACATTTCAGTTGGCCACCGAGGTGCCTGTTCTGAATTTCCAACCCATGCCAAGTCTTGGGAACAAACGTGTATTCAAAGGCGAGTGGCAGCATAGCACTATTGCTGGACAACCAGGCAAACTTTGGAGAAAGTCCATGGAAGTTTTACACGACCAAAGCTCTCCTCAGGAGGTGCCACTGGATGTGACCTGAGATCCTGGGGAGGCCCAGCTTTTCCTGACATCGGAGCACAGCTTCGTTTGTGATGAGGGACCCCGAAGGACACGCTGTTGCACAGGTAACGTGCACGGAGTCAGGAGCTGCACCGCCTGCAGATGTGTTCCTGTGAGAGCTGCATTCAAAGAAGGGGAACACACGGGTTTGTGCCGTTTCTGAGGTGTGAAGATTTCCAAAACATTCCATAATTCCTGTAAAAAGTATTTTTACTCCAAATTCAAGTAGAGGATCGCGTGTTAGTACGAGATAATCCAGAACACCAAAAGCTGTTGCACACTGGTGCAGGCTCTTTGCCCTGTCTCCTCACTGCAGGTGTTAATGGAGGTGCCATCTGCTCGTGTGAATGGAGGGAGGCTTAGTCGCCTTGCTTGTTTTGTGGTGCAAACTTTAAGGAGAAAATAAAGTGGAAGGATTGTAAAAAATAACAGTCTGTGTCCCTTTGGGGTGACTGAGTGCTGTGAGAAGGTAGAGGTATCTCAGAGACCTCAGCACTGATACGGGTACACTTACAAACGAAGTGTAACCACTACTATTTGTTAGGAAATCAAAAACAAGAAATACAGATTTGCAGAAGGCAGAGCAGATGCCTCCACTGTGTCGCTTTTCTTGTGCAGGCTCCTGCTGGCAGTTGTCAGGCCCCCCCTGCACACTGTTTACTTAGTGACTAAAAGGAAAGCATTTCATGTCACTCCAGAGAGTAAATATGTGAAGTTATGGATTAACTAACTTGCAGCACAGCTAATGGCGGAAGAATAGATCAACCTGACTTACACTGAATAAAGCAGTAAGTGCTTCAAAAGTACCATATCCTTCACAATTTCAAAGCCCGGATTTATGTAATGGAGCAGAAAGCTTGTCAAAGATGTCTGGGGAGCAGGGAAGGGTGTTGGGGCAGACAAGAAATGCTCTGGCAGAGCTGTCAAAGGGATGAAGGGAGCTGGCCGAGCAGGCTGGAGGGCCTCTAATGAGCAGCTGCTTTGCAGTTGAAATCAAGGAGAAAGTCAAGGCACACCAGCCTTCATCGAGGGAGCTGCTGCTCTTAGGAACTAACTGACCTGTGGTGACGGAAGCTGTCTCCAGCAAGGTGCTCGCTTTCATGCCTGTCTTTTCTTCCTTAGGTGGTTCCTGCAGCAGAATGTGGAAGCTTATCACCGTAGGGGTGCTGCTGGCAGCCTGCTCCTCACACACATATGGTGGCTCAAGTAAGTAACTCATTTTAGAGACAGCCTTCACCCTCTTGCAGTTACTGCCAGGGCATTTGGTTTGCTGTCAGTGGCAGGGAGTGGGTGGATCACTCCTGTTTAGAGCTTGGGTTCCTCACTAGTAGAGGTTCACCATGGCTGCCTGGACCTTGCCTTTCTGAGCACCAAGAGCTGTCCGAGCAAGAGCACTGCAGGGCCCTGGCTGTTGGGCGCTTCCCTCCCTCTAGCCAATAAACCCTGCTCTTGAGGCCAGACCCTGCAATGCAAAAATACTTTTTGCAAAGGGCAGTCAGCAGGCCAGGGGGCACAGCGGGTGCTCTGCAGACTGCGCTGGCAGCCCCTTGGCAGGAGTGAACCTCAGACCCACCTCTGAAGCAGACCCACTACACGGGCAGGTGCTGGGAACCAGTGATACCTTTAGCACTACTTACTGGTTCCAGGGTGGCATGCTGGGCACGGGATGGGAGCATAAATTAAAGGTTCTGTAGTACCAGCTTAGGGAGAAATGCACGTGGACACAAGGTAGAGCCCGGGCCTTTGGCAGAGGTACGTTGCTGTTAGCCATCGTGTAGAGCCCAAGGAATTCTGTTAGCAACAGTTCAAAATGTCATGGTAAAACCAGTCGCTGCCTACTTGCCAAGTTTGTCTATTCCAGCTGGATCAACTGTGACTTCTCTATGGCACTGGGGAGGCTCTGGAACATCTCACACCTCGTTTTAGCAGTACTCCCCTCAGGCCTTGGCATTGCTGAAAAACAGGCAGCAGGTTACTCGAGGCAGTACTGTACTCAGAGAAAAGGGCCAAAGACTCTGAGCACCAGCCTCTGCACAGCACCTCCAAGGGTTCCCTGCTTGTGCTCTCATGCTTTTGCCTCTAGTATTTTACAGTGACAAAGATGCAAACAAAGTCCTGAAAATCCAGAAGCGGGCAAACTCATTTTTGGAAGAGCTCAAGCCAGGCTCTCTGGAACGTGAGTGCAAAGAGGAACAGTGTGACTTCGAGGAGGCCAGTGAGATATATGAAACCAGAGAAGCAACAGTAAGTTGTTTCTGTAAGGATTAACGTGACACTTAAGCAGTCAATTGTTTGTTTTCTTAAGTATTGCACTCCAGGGCATAGGAGAGCTCGCTACCAGCACTGAACATGCATCACCCCTGGCTCCTAAGGTATAGGCCTGTTTTTGAAAGTCACTGTGTTACAGCAATTGTCATGTTGCTGCCTGTTCTTTGAGCCACAGTACTTGGTTGCTCATGCACACGCTGCCAGACCCAGTCATGAGATTTAGGTCCCAGCCAGGTAATCCCAATCCCTGCTTGTTTATTCTTGCTACAGCTGAGTTTTTCACAGTCTTTTGCCCCTCTTGTCCACTCCCCAGCTCTGGATGCTTTTCAGTGTATCTCCACAATCTCACACCAGTGCCTGACAAATGTTTCTGTTCATCACTAGCTCTTCCTCCCTCCTCCAAACCTCACTTTTTCAACTGGACACTAAATTTATCTTCAGCATCACTGCTTCCTGCACCTTTTCACCCCTTCTTAGTGCCTTGCTGTGCCATTAAGTGCACTAAAACACTACACAAGACTCACCCATCCTTGCTGTCCCTCAGAGCCCAGACTTATTTCACTGCCTTCGCAGTCCCCGAGTGTTGCCTGACTGCAAACATAGCTGTGCGCTCCTCAAGACAGGTGATTCACCTGGTAAAGCAACAAGGAGACGCGAAGGCTGTGAGAGGATTCGGGTGAGCGATGGTGCTGGTGAGTCTGCAAGCAGGGCCGCAGGGATCCGTGCTGGGCAGGAGGCAGCTGTGACACGGCGACATGAGCCCTGCTGGTCCTGCTGGTTTGTAGTGCCCGTCACAGCACTGGGAAGGAAAATGAGACCGATCCTGTTGACCAAAGTGCTGTGTTGGCCAAGGCCGTGATACACTACAAATCCCTTCCTTGTGGAAAGTACTTTTAGCCTAATGTACGTTTTGTTTCTCCACAGCTAGAGTTTTGGAGCAAATATGTAGGTAAGTAAAAAAGACTTTCCTGATGATCTCTCTGTGTTTCCTCATGAGTAACTCATGTTCTGCTGTGATGTACCATACACTGCTTCAAATCCTCCTTTCTTTAAGGGGGTTTGCAAAGCATGTCTTTCTGTCCCATCCTATACACAGCCCTCCACCAAAGGGTCAGGTACCTCTGTGCCTACCACCAGTCATCTCCCTGGTCTTAAACCACTGCTCAGAAATGATTGCTGATGTTCCAGTCCTGCCTGGCAGGGTCCAGAGCAAAGTCCCAACTTTGTCCCTTAGCCCCCCGTAACCTGTCTTTGCCCCATCTCCCCATCTGTTCTTTCTTTCTCCTCTGCTCCAGTCACTCCAGTCGCAAGAAAGCGCCTGGTCTCTGGGCCAGCACCTCAGTTATCTCCATTTGGTGGCAGAAACTCTGCCTAGGGCACAGTTTGGGGAAGATCTGGTTGGTGTCAGTGCTTGACCTTTGAGGCTTCTGCAGGCTTCAGGCTCTGGGCTTTCCTGTGTCTCTTTCAGATGGAGATCAGTGTGAATCACAACCATGTTCCAATGGCACCTGCAAGGACAATATTGGAAAATTTTCCTGCATCTGTAACAAAGGCTGGGAGGGAGATTTGTGCAACCATGGTAATGCTGTCTTTGGTCTGCTATAAAATAACATTATTAGTGGTAGGGATCTCAGGGTATAGATATGAACGTTTGGGCACTACCTTGTATACTTGCTCTCATTTCTGATAGGATTTCTCTCTTACCTCATGATGTGGTAAAAGGATTAATTGTGTTTATCTAAAGCAAATTGAATTTTGCATTGACATGGGGAAAGTGTGGAGAGTTGAGACATCTCAGCTGTACAGATATACCAGAAATAATGCTGTAAAACAGGATTTTCAGTAGCTTTAGACCTCTTAGTACAAAGCATGATGATGAGGGGTCTTTCAACATTACAGGATTAAAAACAACACACTGGGAACATGTGATTGTTGTACTGTGACAGTTTCTTCCTCGAGGACAGGCTGGCTCAGTGACGGGTGTGGGTGTCATGTATCAGTGACACATGCTGCTGGCTGACTCGCTCTCATTTTCATCCTTCAGTCCATACCAGCCCTGACTGCAATCTCTGGTCTTGTTTTCCCTTTGTTTAGGGCCTTTTCGCTATCTCCCTGACATCATTTTGCCATCCTGTGGCTTTTCAGCTTTCCAACTTGTCTCATCTCTCTTGCTCTTCCTCTTTTTTTTCCCCAGTGGTCAAATACACCAACTGCTCGGTCAACAACGGGGGCTGTGAGCACTTCTGCCGGGACGACCCCGCCAACCAGCGCCGCCACTGCAGCTGCGCGTCCGGCTACCACTTGACGAGCGACCACACCATGTGCAAGCCCGTGGGTAAGAGGAGGTTTGTTTGTAGTCCCAGCGTGACAGAGGATTATTCGAGGGTGAAATAAGGGCCTTTTGCACAATTATTTACATGGCCCTTTCTAATAATTTTCAAAAGGACTGCATGGGGAGTAACTGTGCAGGGAGTATCCTGCCTTTCCCAGCTCCGCACCCCCTTTATGGCCATTAAGAATCCAACCCGCACCTCTATTTACCCACTGGAGTCATATTGGAGGATCAGGAAACTACCTCCTCCACAAAGCAGTGAGGGACTTCCATGAAGTTGCTAGCAGTACAGCTGAGTTTAGAGGGATGGGAGAAAAGCTTTTGGAAGAGTTGTTAGGTGGCCTGGTCTTTGCTAGTTAACTTCTCTGCATCTCTTGTAGTGGAGTTCCCTTGTGGAAGAATGAAAACGGAGTACGCTGAAGCCGAAGCTGGATTCAAAATTCGGCTCATTGGGGGCAAACAAGGAAGAAAAGGAGACAGTCCTTGGCAGGTGAGGAAAGAAGGATCTTTCATAACCAGGTATTTCCAGGACAGCTCTCCCTACCCAGTTGCTCCAAGGAGACTCCTAAATTACCAGTAGTGACAAAGCTAAGCTAGATTTTTCAAGAGTAACTTGGAAGTTGAAATACCAGAGAAATAGTTTCTCATCTGTTAGGATTGGCTTGTCATCGCTGCCTGTTTTTTTACATCGGCAGCAGTGCCAGGAGAAGGGACAGGGATGACACTCATCCATTCTTTCACTCTGTGCTGCGGAGGCAGCTTCAGCCCTGCAGCTCATGCAGCCTGCATGAGCAATAAGGTAGGAGAGGAGGATGATCTTCCTGCCCTTTCTTTGTTTTCTTGCCAGCTTTATCTGTCCTAAGTTGAAGCTCGCAAGTTTAGTCAGCAGAATATGTCGTAGTTTCATAGAGCCATTTGGGATGTCAGAGAGAAGGAGTCTGAGACCTTACAGAGTGTAGCCTGGCACTTGTGAGTGTCTGTACTCAGAACCTGGTTCCTCTTTGACAGAAAAAGCCCTTTTGCACCATCACATGGGAATTGCAGCCCGAGACAACATACTGTTTTCTGGCATGCACTGGTCAGAAGAATGATCCCCTCATGTGAGCCGAACTTCAAAGTTCCTGAAGTATTAGAGAGCTTCCTTGCAGTCGCCAACATCGTCGCATGCTGATCTGGAGAAAGCCAGCCCTCATTTGGGAAGAATACTCACAGCCTCTTTTTCCATGGAGATCTTCTTCATAGTGCTTTTGTCCCGCTGAAGAGCTTCGACCTCAGCAGATGTAACATGTTTTGGTGCCTGATGCATTTAGTGTACCTTGCAACCAGAAAGAAGGTGTACGTTTTGTGAGCATCACGTCATTCCTGTGGTGTGAGACTTCTCTTTCCTTTTTTCAGATTATGCTGCAAAATAACAAAGGGAAATTCCTGTGTGGGGGCGTTCTCATCCATCCATCCTGGGCCCTAACAGCAGCACACTGCACTGAATCAAGAGAGGAGTACAAAGTAAGACTTGGTATGGAAAAAAATCTATTCCCTTTTTTTAAATACAACTCCTTCATTCCCAAGCTTTGTCACCTCAGGAGAGAGATCAGTAGGTTATAAAGATTTAATCCTTTTGAATGTAGGAGGGGTTGTCTTTTAACATACACTTTAGCCCACATCAAAAAGTATTAGTAAAATCATCTGATTTCACTCAAGCAGGAAGGTGGAAAGATGGGAAAGTTAAGATTATCTTTGCTCTCAGTTTCAGACTCTCCTCTAGGAAAGCTCTTATGCTTGTGTGTTTCTGCTAGTAAAAATATTTAAGGTCACCCCAATGCTAAAGAAACTCCCCTTTCCAAAGGATGTGTTAAAATCCTGAGCCCAAGAGGAGGAAGAAGCTGGATGTGCATCAGCATCACGGGCCTCTTCCTACCTTTGATCTATCTGAACACCTTTGCTTGAGAGAGTTGGTAGAGGGGAGGAGAGATGCCACAGAATAGCAACGCTGACATGATCCGTAATGCAGCTACCATCACCAGCACTGCTGCTCCTGGGCATGACAACACAGAGGATGAATGGCTGCAGGATTCCCTTGTGTCCTCTTAGTGCCAGATTAGCTACCTTTTCTATAGAGAGACTTCAAAGTAGAAGTAAATGTGGTAGCTTGTAAACATACAGATGGACTGTGTGTACTCACAACACCCTTAAGTTCCACAGGAACTTAAGGAACAATTTCTTAACAGTGAGGGTGCCAGAGCACTGGAACAGGCTGCCCAGAGAGGTTGTGGAGTCTCCTTCCCTGGAGATCTTCAAAACCCCCTTGGACGCAGTCCTGTGCCACGTGCTCTAGGTGACCCTGCGTGTGCAGGGGGTTGGACTAGATGATCTCTAGAGGTCCCTTCCAACCTTAAGCATTCTATGATTCTATGCACACATCTCCAAACACTTAAGTTATGAGTAACTTTCTCCTCTGTGGAGGGTTTGCTCTTATTCCCTTTTCAGATTCTAGTGAGTCCTAAGAAGCAGGTGCAGGTTACTCGGAGTGGTTCTGGGGGGAAAAAGCAGCTGTAGAAGGATATGTTGGAATCCTCCGTGGTGCTTGACATAGTTCTGAATGGAGCTTCAAGGAGACAGACCTGCATGTCACAAGGGTGAAAATGCTGCCTGGGGGAAATACTGAGGATGTCCTCAGATCCCTCCACCTGGGTCTCATACTGCAGATATTGGTGGAGATCTGTCCATTGGGACAAGTTTTCAGCTAGGATAGCCAGGCCTGAAGATCCGCAAGAAGGAACAAGGCTGGGATCTGTCAAGAGAGTCTTATACTGCCCAAATGAAAAATAAATAAATAAAATAAAAGATTAAAGAGTTTTCAAAGGCTGAAAAAGGTGTCAGCGTTGACAACTTTCATTTGAGAAGATTATTTTTTGAGGCTCAACTGACACTCAGGAGACACACACAGATGTGGAGAATATACATAATTGTATTGAATATAGAGAAAAAAATGTAGTATAAGGATGATCAGCGAGGAGGTGAACAGAACTCTTAAATAACTGAGGAAGGAAGTGTTCTTGATCAGTGGTCAAATGCATGTTCTCTTGTGGCACCTCCAAGAAGAGAGGTTGTTAGAGGAGAAGATCGTGTGCGACGGCTTGATAGTAGCCAGCTCTTGCAGCTCTGGTGCTGGACAGTGCAGGTGCCTGGAAACGTGCTGTCCCCCGCAGCTGGATGTGGTCGTGTTGGCTGCCTGCAAAGGAGCAAGAAGAGGCACGCAGAATGATCTAGAAACTGAAGATTCAAGCCTGGGCTTGAGAGGTCTTTTGAGAACGTCTTTCTGGAGTTAATCTCAGTGCCGACTTTGTGGCTGCTGGTCACAAAGCTGCTGCTAAAGCTGGAGGCGCTGACTCTTCTACAGGCACCAAACAGCCAGAACAGCCCTCTGAGAGGTTGGAACAAAGTGGAATTTACACTGAAGTGAGGGACTTGAGAGGCCCAGCTTTGGTCACGCGCTCAGAACAGCTTCTCCTCCGTCTTAGAGCTGGTATCTGAAAGGATTCAGGAGAGAAATGTGCTTGCATAGATGCCTGCCAGCAGCTTGAGTGTGCTCAATGGGCAAGCCTCAAAAAGGAGGAATGCTTTTATCCAGTACGTGCTAAAGTAGGCAGTGATATGACCATGCATTAACTGTCAGCACAGTTCAGAAATGTGACAGCCCAGCACACGCTACTCCTTTCTTGTGGCTCACTGTCAAGATCATATTGAACAGATCTGTTCCTGTCTTTTCCAGTGCATCACATACAAACAACTTGTTCTTCCCTTGAAGGTCTTTCCTGGCTTAGTATCCTATTAACTTTTGCATAACTCCTTGGCCCAGGAAGTGGCCATGACTGTAGCACAAATAATGATAGAGAAGTCTTAGGTGGTCAAAAACTCTTTAAAATACAGATCTAAGGTTTTAAAATCTGTCACATTGTCTTTTAGATTCTGAAGCTTAGTCATTCGCACACTGGATATACAACAAAAAATTTAGGTGCTATCTCTTGCTTTACTGTACTCTTGGTCTCCCAACTTTTAGTGGTGACTCCAAGAAGATTATTTTCCTGCTCAAGAGCATCTCTCTAGTTGCGTGCAGGGTATAACATGGCAATGCAGAAGTATTTCAGTCTCTCAACTGATGGCCCTAACCCTAGAGAACTAATTCATTAACATGTTTATTCATGGTACAAATAAATAGAAAAGTGCAAAGACTGCAATTAAAGTGAATGTTCTTACCCTAAAACCAAAATGAATTAATGTCTATGTTGCAAGGGTATTAAAGGCAGAAGGTAGACTCCTAAATCCAGAGACTTTGGTGTTGAAGGTGCAGGAAGACTCCCTTTGTTTGGAGAGCTCAGGAAGTCCAGGAACGTCTCTCATCTTCTTGTTTGCTCTTCCAGGTAAATATCACCGGTTCCGTACTGAGGCAGAGGAGCAAATCATTTGGGTTGATAAATATGTGAGCCATGAGAATTATACCAAGGAGACTTCTGATAATGACATAGCCATGCTGCACTTGGCTGAGCCGGTGATCTATAGCAAATACGTGCTCCCTATCTGTCTTCCCACCAGGGACCTGGCAGAGCAGGAGCTGACCAAGAAAGGGACACAAATGGTGATAACTGGCTGGGGCAGCACGAGCGACGTTTCCAAGAAGAACTACTCTACTGTCCTCAACTACATCGAAATCCCCATGGTTCCCCGGAACGAGTGTGCCCAAGCTATGAGATTTGCTATCTCTGATAACATGCTGTGTGCTGGGCGCTTAGGGGACAATAAAGATTCCTGCAGTGGGGACAGCGGAGGCCCCATGATCACTAAATTCAAGGACACTTGGTTTCTGGTGGGACTGGTGAGCTGGGGTGAAGGCTGTGGAAGTCTGGAGAAATTTGGAGTCTACACCAAAGTGAGCCAGTACCTCGAGTGGATCCAACGCCACATAGACCAGACGCCTGCTTCGGTTAACGGCTGAGCCTGACGTTGCGAGGAACATTGTGGCTGTGCACTAGGGGCAGCACACGGTGTAACATACTGCCACACCTTCAGTATTAAATATTGCATCTACGTCAACCTTGTGTGCTGTTCTCCTTGCTGCCTGCTCTAGCTCAGGTTGTGCAGTTGTAGCGTGGTCCTGCCCAGGCCCTGCAGCCAAGGGCCCCGTTGCGCCTTTGCGTTCGCAGCCTCCCTGCGTAAGGAATACGCCCCGAGGCGCGCGGGGCTGCGAGGAGGCAGCGCAGCGGTTTGGAGACCAGCCTCGTGCTGCAGCTCTGGCACTGCAGCTTCACTCTGCCTCCTAACCATCGCGGTTTGCTCCGCACGTGCGTGGCTTTTAATTCCATGCAATGAAATTTTAGTAGCATCTTCGCTGCCTCCACTCATTGATACTTCACTGCCAAAATCAACAGGTCAGCAGCATTTCTCCCTGTCTTCAGTTCCTTGCAAATTAGGTGCCTTTCTCCCTGCACAAAGCTCCTTGAAAGTCAGTAGAAGTGTGCACTTAGGCAACAGAAAAAAAGAAAAAAGAATAAGAATAATAATTCCAAGCTTTTGCATGCTCTTTTTATCTTAATGTCTGTAAATCCCTTCTAATTAGTTTTCTAAGGTAATTACTAGACCAGAATGTTTACACTAGTGAATGCAATCATTTGCAGGCATCATTATCAGCATACCTAGTGTTTATTGACAATTTCTTTTTTTTTATGCATTTGCATCTATATCTGTATGTATTTGAGCATATCAGTAAATAAAGATACATAGCACCAATAGGGCCACAGGAAGCAGTAACAGTCAAAATGAAGTTTACTGCAATCACAGTGCTTGCTTGTTTTTAATCTTAGCACTTAACCTGCTAGAATTAATTAATCTTGTAGAGAGAGGCGACCCCAGCTCTGGTGCAGTGATACATGCTGCCAACATCTCAGCGAGGCTTTGGACCCCATTTTGGAAGAGTGATGAGTATTGGCAGTTGTGATGGGATTTAAAAAAACTTGATATCAGTTAAATCTGTGGACCGGGGCTTGCTGAGCAACAAGCTGCCCGCACGCGCGCTGAGCAAGTGCTGGGGTTGGTTCCTGCAGGGAAGCAGCAGCCGACACTGACACTGACAGGAGATGAAGCCCCTCGCAAAACCAGCAGATTTTCCTGATGGAAGTTGCTGCCAGGAAGTGACTTATTGTTGGATGCTGTTTTTAAAGGCAGCTTTTTAAAGATATGCATGTGCATGGGTGTAGAAATACATATTTTACTTTGATTTTGAATTCCAGGTGTGTTTCACAGAATCCAGAAGGTTGTTTCTCTTCTGTCAATATTTGTGACTGGTTAATGATTAATCTCTTGACCTCATGGCTGTTCCTGGTGTACATCCAAATCTCTCTTCTGTCTTCCCATAAAAAAAAACAGAAAAGAAAAGAGAAAAGTGAGTATAATTGCATGGATTTCTGTAAAAGTGAATGCCTTCTGCATCCTTTGTTTTTGGAAGATGACACAAATAGCAGAAATCCAAGTACTACTATCAACCCCTGGCAAAAGTATTTAACCGGTGAAAATAATATAAAGAAGTACAAACTTCTCTCTCACTATTTACTGCCAGGTGTGTGGCGGGACATTTCCTAAGGGAAATCCTAGCACACGGTCTTCCGAAGTGAGGCCGCCGCCTCCGCGGGGAGCTGCCGTGGCCTTCGCAGCCGGCGCTGCTGGGGCTGCCCGCATCGCCCGCGCACTGCCCTGCGCCTGCACTGGGGCTGGATCGAAGGGAAACGAGATCAAAATGAACCCAGTCCAATTTGCTCTCTTCCTGCTGTCTTTTACCCTGTCTGCTTGACCCATGTGGCCTTAGTGACAATGCAGTGATTTCTCCCTCCTTCTCCCCCCGAAGGTGAGCAGAGAGCAGCCAGAGGAGTCCGAGCGCCCTGAAATGGAGAGAGGTTCCTCCCTTGCGGTGCTTCTGCTACTGATGAGCTCCTTGGACAGCAGCTCTCTGGTTTCGTTCTCAGGTGGGTGCTTCTGAATGACGTCTGTTAAATACACGGTTGTCTTGCAGTGAGCAGCTTGGTGGTCAAACTGGAACCACCTTTTTTTTCTGAACACAACTTGTAAGAGTTGAAGAACTTCCTGTAATGCACAAGGAAGAAATGAACGTTCACTTACATTTTGGGCAGAAATAACCATTCGTAGCTTCCTTCTTAGACCACCGTCCTGTTGACAACTCTTCTTTTTGCAACACTGGAAGCAAAATTCAAGTTGCTTTTTCAAGGCCATGTTTTCAAATGTAGGAAACTAAATTTAGGCATTTGGGGCATATGTTTGGACTTACGTGAATTTTGCTACTACTATACAAGTTTTGGAAATAAGAGAGCTTTACAACAGCGTGCAGGAAGCCAAGGGCTGGCGTGGCAGCCTTGCAGAGGAAGAGGAATAGAAGAGGGCGGAGCGACATCACGAACCAGAAGGCTTTTCAATAGGCAGGACCTCTGTCTGGTGGTACCTTGAGTAGGCATTGCCTTAAAGATGACCTCAGAAATCAAGAACTGATGATGGGCAATTCACTGATGTGAGTGAAGGGTGTTTCCCCCTTACCAGGCAGCAGGATCTGTCCAGAGCTCTTCTCAGCTTACTGTGAGCTGTTTCTCATTGCCTAGAAGTGAAGCAATTTATTATTGTAGAATTCAGTAACTGATAAGGATACTTGTCCTGCAACTGCAAAGAAATGTTCGCTTTATGGTCCATCTGCAAAACTGGATTCTTTGCCCAAAGGGGTTGACTTCTGTCTAGGACACTGAACTGAGGAGGAAAGCGGAGCACTGTTAAGTGACTGATGTATTTTTAGGAAGTTGGGTCTGATTCACAAAAGGACTTTTGTCTCTCAACACTTCTGAGCAGTTTGTTTTCACAAGCTTTGTTTCAAGTGGAAGGGCTTGGGATGTAGGGCTGGTCTGCTGGAAATCCAACAAAAAGGCCAAAATCTACTTCTCCAAATGGTGTACTAGGGCTCCATGCAGCTTCTGTGCATTAATATCCAGAGGTGTTGGTGAGGTCACGTTGTACATCCATGGATCCAGAGATGGGCTGAGAGGGATGGGACAGAAGCTGCGTTGCTCCCAGGTCAGTCTGGAGCAGCCCAGGGCCCTGCGGCATCTCAAGTGTCATTAAAAACTTGGGGGACAACTGAATGAGACCTGCTCCATCTCTTCAGGAATGTGCCTGTTCCTTCTCCTTTAGCACCTACTGGCTGCCAGGCTCTGGGGGTGCTTTTTTCAGCCAGCGACGTGTGTCGAGGCCTCACTGGAAGTAGAAGCGGCAGCATCGTGAGTCTGTACGTTAGTGTTGTGTTCCCTCTTCTGGTCACTCCTCCTGAACTTACAGACACTGCAGTGGGAGGGCAGATTGCTGAGTGAAGCCAGAGAGAGCTGTAGGAAACGGGACAAATAGGACACTCATTTTCTTCTTCTCAGAAGCAGTGTCTGTCTTACAGTGGCTACCTGCAGTGGGTCTCCATGTGAATGTCTAGGAAAGGCTGGATGCAGCTTCAATACTCTAAAGTCAAAAAATACGATTCAAGCACTAGTCTGTAAGTCTTTCCAAAGGTTGTTCTTTCTAAATACGGTGGGTCCCATTGGAGCCAAGCATCCCAATTCTGCACAACAGGCGTGTGAGTGTGGAGCTCCCCGACCACAGGAACTGAGCTGCTCTCTGCCACCTCTTCCCAGGACACAACCAGTGCTACTGGGTCTGTGACAGCCACAGCTTGAGCACAGTGTCACTGACCTCGGGATTTTTCTCCCATCTTCCCCTACCAGGTACCCCTATCCAACAGGCACAAAGCCCTGGAGGATGAAGGGCAGTCATTGGATGGTGAAGGCGAGAGTCCCTCTCCTCCAAAAACATTAACACGGTCAGAAAGACCAACCGTCCATATTGTGTGAGCGCCTGCAGAAGGAAAAACCGGCAGGTTATAGTCATGGGGGATTCCTCAATACAGGGAACACAGGGTCATCCAATATTTAGAAGGGGCGCTCCTCTAAGGGAAGTCTGCTGCCTTCCTGAGGCCCGGGTTAAGCACATCACCAGGAAACATCCCAGCATGGTTCAACCCATGGACTACTAATTGTTTCTGGTCCTACACGCGGGAGGAGAGGAAGTGGCAACATGTAGTCCGAGGGCAATCAAAAGGAAGTCAGGGAATTGGATCGGATAATCAGGAACTTGGGTGTGCAGATCATTCTCTATTCTTCCCAGTGCTGGCAGCAGTCCATCAACACGTGGCTCCGTGGCTGGTGTCATCACCACAACTTTGGTTTTTTTGGCAATAGGAAGCCTTACATGGCACTAGGCATGATGGCATCTGATGAGATTCATCTTTCTCAAAGGAGGAAGAGAGTCCTTGGTCATGAGGGTTCATCAAGAGGACTTTAAACTAGATTTGAGGTGGGATGGGGGTTATCATCAGGGAAGCTGGTGATAAGGTAGGGAATGGCCTGTCATGCCACTCACAGCAGCCTAACTCCAGAGCCAGCGAAGGATCCCTGAAGCCTAGAGAGGGAAAACAGCAAAACAGGAGAGCTACTGAAGGTCCTAGCTACTTGGCCCTAGGGACAAGAGAAGAAGCCTGGAGAGAGGAAGACTCGCCCTGGGTAGAGGAAGATTGGGTCAGAGAGCACCTAAGGAAACTCGATACCCACAAATCCATGGGCCCTGATGGGATGCACCCCAGAGTGCTGCAGGAGCTGGCAGAGGTCATAGCTAAGCTGCTCTCCATCATCTTTGAAAGATCCTGGAGAACAGGGGAGGTGCCGGAGCACTGGAAGAAGGCCAATGTCACGCCAGTCTTCAAAAAAGGCAAGAAGGAGGACCCAGCCA